GACTTTTGATTTCATTTCCAAAATTTCTGTAATAATCAAAATAAATAAAGTTGAAGTTACTTTCTTAGATGCATTGACTGAAGTTACTGTACTGAGTCATTTTAGTTATTTTTCATATAGTTTTTTCTTTGTTTTATTAATAAAAAGTACTTCAAATATAATTTTTTTCATAAATCAGAAGTCAATCCAATCACTTCAGTCAAAACTTCATAAATTTCAGCAGAATCGCCGATTTTTGTTACCAAACGGGCTCTAAAGATAGAGAGGTGTACTCCGAACTTCAATGAATTCTAGATGGTTACCCAAAAACGCCCAATTGAATGCACCTGCTTAACATAAACAATTGGAAATTTTAGCAAGCAAACTTCTAGTAATCGTTAATCATTTCTCTTTTTCTATCTATATGGATTTCTTATTTTATTAGCTCTTTTCTTTCTATTTTGTCTCTTTCAATCATCTTTTAATTTCTTTGATTTTTTCAAGTTTCTTCCATTCCTGTTATCCTGTAGCTTAGTCTTCTTTCTAATTAATTAATTTTTTCCTCGGAGCATATAGTCTTTCTTTCTCCATGTTTGTGTTTTTCCTTGTTCCCTCATCTTCGGCCCTCTCCTTTCCTCTTTCTTGTTCTCTTCTTATTCCTGTCCTTTTCCCCTATTCCTTTTCCCCGTTCCTTTTTTTCTACATTCCCTCTACTTCTCCTCAGTTTCTATCATTTTGTCCTCGATTTTCTATGTTCTTGTAAAAAACTCAAACAAACTTCTAAGTTTTTCAAATCCAGCCTTTTACATTAACATCAATTGACATTTGAAGCTCCAAAGACAATAGTAAAATGCTAGTGTAAATAGCGATATATATCTATGTACATCTCTAGAGCATAGGCATTCACGCTCATAAACGAACATACAAGACACCCAAACCTATCAAATTGTTTATCATTATAAGAGCCTGTCCATTCGATACTTGAGGTAGAAAAATAAAAAATTGTGATTTAATTTTTGTAGAGCCGTAGAAGAGATAAATGAAGAAAAGCACAAATACCACATACGGAGATAAGAAAAGTAAAAGTTATTCTAAAAAAAGGAAGTAAAAGTTACTTTACTTCGAATGTCACAAAGTTTTTTAGACAAAAAAAAAAGAACTCATTCCAAAATCTGAATTAATCTTATGAGTCAATGTTAGGTACTATATCAAACAGGGTTTTGCCTTCATGGAAGCTACTTAGGCTAGGGAAGGGAAGCATTTTGAAGGTTAGCCACGAGAGGGGAAGGAGAGGGGAAATGAAAATAAAAAACTTTTTGTATAAATTAGATTTTTATTTGTCCAATAAATCTTGATATTATCTAATAAATTTGTATCTTAATATAAGATAATATCAAATTTGAGATAAACTTTGATATTGTCTCATTTTTTTATCATGAACTTTTTCCATGTATGGATTGAGTAAATGTAAATAACAGGGATGAGTACCAACAAATAATAATTTGAGCTGAAATAATGGGGATGCTATTCTACATTTGTTGAGTACACATACGCATGTAATGCAATGGAATCGATTGAAGTGCGCAATGAAATACACAATGTAATGTAATTAAACCTCTATTCTATTACTATGTTTGGTTACCTAAATAATAACAATTATAAAATGTAATCAATATTACATAATTATGTTTGTTTTATCTACATGTAGAATGAGACACTATAATCAATTATTTTGCAATTTAAAGCTCCAAAGATGATACCCGGGACCGGTACTGATGATACCGGCACGGGTCCGGTTTTCCGGGACCGGCCCGATGGTTATTAGTGGCAGGCTTCAGGCTTGACTTTTTGGGCCTAGTCTTGGCCCAATGGCTACTTTTTCAAAAAAAAAAATGGGTGGGTACTAGCCTGGGCCCAACCCAAGCCCGGTACTATTTGGGCTCGGACCGGAACCGATACTGGAGCATACCGGGCCAGTACCGGGCTCCACCTTTTCAAAACGGATATCGCTTAGCCCCGTCCCACCCGGGTTCATCCCATGTTGATACATCCAAATGATTGTCTATCAAACATCATTCATTCCTAAACAGTTGAATGCATATATAAGATCCAGTCATCCAGATGTGCAACACAAGGAAAATAAAAATGTTTATAAATCTCAAATATATATACACACGATAGTATATACTAGGGGTGTTCGTCGGTTCGGTTTGGTCGGTTTTCGGTTTGGTCGGTTCGGTTTGGTCGGTTTTTTTCCCGAAAAGCTGAAACCGTAAACCGAACCGCACTACTTGAGTCGGTTTCGGTTCGGTTTCGGTTCGGTTAATATCGGTCGGTTCGTGTCGGTTTCGGTTAGTTTTAGCATGTTTTTGTCGGTTTTTGTCGGTCGGTTTCGGTTCGGTCGGTTTTTTAACCCCAAAGGTGAAACCGTAAACCGAACCGCCAATGTTTAATCGGTTTGAGTCGGTTTCGGTTTGAGTCGGTTTCGGTTTTGGTCGGTTCGGTTTCGGTCGGTTTGTCGGAGTATGAAACTAGTTTATTTTTGGCCTTTTTATTCCAATATTACTAAAATAAATGAAAAGGATAAAAAAGTGACTTGTTTTTATATTTTTCTTAAAATGTGACTAAAAGTCATTTACTACTTATAATTAACCATATATTAATTTTTAATTATTCCTTTATAGCACCTCCAGGCCGCCAACCCCAGCACCACCACTGCCGCCGCCGCCGCCAGCACCAGCGTCGCCGCCGCCACCACCGCCACTGCCGCCGCCGCCGCCGGCCAAAGTGACTCCGGCCATAGTGACTGCCACCAAAGTGACTCCGGTCTCGGTGACTCCGGCCAAAGTGACTCCGGCCACAGTGACTGCCACCAAAGTGACTCCGGCCAAAGTGACTCCACGGGTCACAACGACTACCGCCTACCAGCCATAGTGACCACCGCTCAGTGACTTCGGTTACGGCGACTGCCTACTCACCGCTAGTGTCTGCCGCCGCCATCGACAGTGTCTCCGCCGCCAGTGACTACCGCCACCCCCCGGGCAGTCACTGCCTCGGCCAGTCACTGCCCCGGCCAGTCACTGCCGCCCCCAGCCTAGCCCTCCGCCACCACCCCCAGTGCCACCCCCTGTTATTTGACTCCGCCAGCACCACCGCCCCCTGCCCCATCACCACCCCACAAATCCGGCAACTCAACCACTCTCCTTGACCCTATTCCTAAGCACCACCTAACCAGCCGACCTGTTCTGCCGCCAGCTTAATCTCCGGCCAGTTGCGCACCTCCACGATGTCGTCATTGCACTCCACCAGCCGCGTGGACTCAAACCGCCGCCGCACATCAACGAAACCCTCATCACATCGCCTTTAGTCGCGGTGGCACCAAAATGCAGTTTTCGTCCAGCAAGGACGGCGGATCTAGCGAAGGCGCAACTACCGAGGGACGGCGGATCTAGCGAAGGTGCAAATACCAATGGACGATGGATCTGACGAAGGCGCGGTTGCAGAGGGACGGCAGATCCAGTTGAGGATGACGCCTAGATCTTCACCTCTAGTCGATTTTAGTTGTAGCAACGGCGGCGGAGAAGGTGAACGATGGTGCTCGCAGGTAAGGTAAACATCGGTGGAGAAGAAATGAGTAGAAGAAGAAAGTTGCGGCAGGGCGGCGACGGCAGAACAACGGCGGTGGCGGCAGAACAACGACGGCGAAGGAGACGGTCATTGATGATGCAAGGCGCGGTCGACCGAGCTCCACTTCCGAGGATGACCATCTCCTCTGCGCTGGAATGGATGATGCAGATGAAGTGCGCTGGAATGGGGGGTGACGGGTCGATGAGGAAGATTTGCTCCAGATCTGTTTTTTAGATCTAAGTCATACTTTTGGAAATTAAAAAAAAGGTTATACTTTTAGAATTGAATAGTCCATTAGTTATATCGTGGCAATTTTTTCTTTATTTTTCAAGCCTTCTTCTCCAAGAAGTATAACAGTAGCTTCAAAATTCCTTCAAGCTCATCATAGATTGTAAATGGATCAATCTGTAGCAAACAAAAACAGTTCAATCAGTGTATCTAGCAAACAATATAAAGCTACCTGTTAGAGTATATTAATATATACAAGGTATAAAGATAGAACTAAACATTTCACGTATAATCTAATTAATCCTCAAAACTAAACAGCTCTCAGAAAGAAGAAAACATGCAGTAATTGAGTGATTTGAGTCATGGATTATTCTGTAGTAGACCACTAATGCCAAGAACACATGGATAATCAGGGGAGATAAAAAAACAAAAATGATAGCAGTCGCAAAACACTCAGAAAGAAGAAAAAATGCAAACTTGACGGGAGAAAGTCCATCTGTTGGGAGAGGGAGCAGCTGGTCGCAAGAAAAGAATAACAAGAAAGAAAATCACAGCCACCAAATCTGTGTTCATGAACAATTATCATCTTTCAATCTTAAATTTTAAGGTTTGGTGTTAAAATTATGTATTCATAAAAAAAATGTCACTATAGGTCATCTGGAAACAGTCTCTCTGTGCTTTAGTACAAGGGTAAGACTCCGTACATCTGACCCCCTTACCCCATCGTAGGTGGGAGCCTTTGCGGCACAGGGGTAAATGAAAATGATGATGATGAAAATGATAAAAAAACATGTCTCTTATTTCTACTAACCTTTTTAACAACTGGGTGGTATGCTCGTGAAAGCTTTTAATAAAGAGGACTAAAGGATAATAAATGAGATGTGCCAAAGCTTGCTTACTTATTATATTTGAAAACACAGGTCGAAAGGGTTAATTAAAATCTGCCCATGTATATTTTGGGATCACACAAATTCCCTTAATTGACTTGAGATAGTTTTATAGAAACCTGAGTTAGGCTATCTTTTGCAAAACAAACTGATATGCTAATTGATCATTATAAGTCAGTAGATAGCAATTTGCTAATTACTTCCTTCATTTGATTCAGTATGAAACAAGGAAAGTTCATATCAATTTAGGTAGTCTAACAAGGAAAGTTCATATATATTGCTAAGTAACAAATTCATTGCCAAAAAACTCATTGAGTAGAGACAGAAGTTCAATATTGAAACACTCATATTTCTCAAGAGAGTGAAAAGCCATATCAAACAACTCTCTCTAGTAAAATAGATACAACAAACATATGACAAACAAGTCTAATAATAATCAATCTTGAATCTACTAAGATTCACTTCATCACTTGCTCGTGGATATTTACAGATCAATAATAATGTAGTATTGCACCATACTCCTTGAAATTTGAGCCCTGCTTCATGAACTATTATCTTTACGAAATGTGAGTAATCGATGGTCGATCCCATGTTACAATTAGCTTAGGATCGGCTTAGCTGAAAGCATGAAAGTATTGAACTCCAACTCGTGATCCATTTTCTATGCTAACAGGTTGAGGTCATCACTTGCTAATTGGAATTCTAACCCCCAGCCAGCATCACTCATCTCCTTTTTAGCTTACTGCCATAAATCATAACTTCCATTCAAATGAATGTTATCTCTTCTTTAATTAAATGATATATGGATTCTATTAGCTCAATTTCTAGCTCAGTTTACGTAATTAATAAGATTACAAATACCTATTATACACAACATATCTAGAAATGGTTCAGAGTATATAGAGTACACCCACTTTGAATCATTAACCCTAAATTTGTTTAACGCCATATCAGCTAGATTTGATATAATTTGAACATAATTGATAGCCCCCAATAGAGTAGAACCATTTGAATCGGCTTAATTGAAAATAGAGTATACCCACAAGAATCAGCTCTCAAAACCTAAAGCTATATCAACTAGATTTCATATCGATCTATAAGAAGTTGATTATAAGAGAAGAAATTCAAAGGCTAGAAGACTTATATAAACAATTGGTATTACTTTAGGATAGAGAATTAAGTTGGGGTATACCTCTTCCTAGAAAGGCTCAGTCGGAGCCTAGCAAATTACCGAATAGATCGCCAGGATTCAATGGAGCCCAATGAAGAAGATGAAACTGGCGGCCATAGGTATGCAAAGCTTTCGAACCTCTTCTTCGGACACTAAGATGTATAAGACGTAGATATTTGTAATCTCAAATACAGCACAAAGGTGTAATATCAAATACATAATTTTTGTAATATAAAGCTTATTACACCTATTAAAGTAATGAATTCCACATTTGCAATGTTCATTACATTACAATTTAAAACAAAATGTCATACCAAACATTGTATTCGTAATGACGATTACATTACATAATTGATTACATCATACCAAACATGGCTATAGATTTTTGGCAATGCACTATTGTTATAAAACTTTAAAAAGTGTTATAACAGATCATTAATGGCAACATTTTTGGCCGTCAAAATGCAGAGGGCAATAAGTAACATTGAAGCACGTTTGCAAGGTGTAGTTGTCCGTGTTGGAGCTGCACCTTCTTTCCCCCTAGCAGTAGGAGGACAAGCTCGCTGCTTGATAGCAGAAGAAGTGTCGCACCATAATCTTGGGAAAATGTACATTTGGTGGATGCTCTGGTTTGAAGGCTTACCAGTTCAGCAGCAGCAGGCACGACTGAATTGCTCTATCAACTTGCAAACTTTTAAAGCCCGTTAGTTAAGGCCTATCTGTATTACATGAAGTTTGGTAGAATGACTTGAATTTACTGAATTATATCTAGTGACATTATCTAAAAATTTACTTCATATTTACCTAACAAATCAAAGAAAATAATACTCCCTCCGGTTTTTAATAAACTTCACACTTTCCTTTTTGGGACGGTCTAAAATAAACTTCACACTTCCTTATTTCCTTTTTGGCAAAGAAATCTACATCAAAACAGTGTCAAACAGTGCCAAACAGTGTCTCAACAGTGCCAAACAGTGTCTCAACAGTGCCAAACAGTGTCTCAACAGTGCTAAACAGTGTACTCTACAGTAAAGTCAATTTTTTTTCCTTATTTTGTGTGAAGTCAAAGTGTGAAGTTTAATAAAAACCGGAGGTAGTATTCTAAGAGTACCTACCAGCTTCTAAAAAAACTGATTCTAAGAGTAAATTGGAGCACCAGAAGTGCTTTTGGAATTTCAGCCAAACACTCCAGCTTCTGCTTCTGCTCCCTGAAGGAGCAGAATCAGATCCAAACACCCCCTTATTCGTTAGTCATTAGAGCATGAGGTGTGGCGAAAAAACCTTGGTTAATGAATGCCGATACAAGGGGTGATTACCAAATGGGCTATTCTCTTTCCTTCCGATGACCATTCTTTTTCTTCAAATTCTCAGTTGCTCAAAATACAACATTTGGCCGTTCAAGACAAGGATTGATAGTGTACGTTGTTGAGAAGTTGGATCCATTGCTCTCTCATAATTTTGGTCTATTTCTCATAGCAAGCTTTTATTATATAATGACATCCAGTCTTTGAGAACCCTCCCTTTGGCAACAAAGCATCCGTTGTTCTTGCTATCGTTCCTAAGTGGACAACCCATCTGCTGCAGCATCTTCTTCACCAAACCCTTCACGGGGGATTTCCCTCTAATGGCGCTGTGTTTTCCCACCCCACACACCACCCTAATCTCGCTAGGCAGATTATCATTATCTCCACTTTCACACCTTGTTCTAACCTCTTCAAACCACAGCAGCATGATCACATATGCTGTCCCCAAATGCATACCATGCAAATCTAACTCCACTCCCCATTCCACTTTCCTCTCTGTTGCCAGATTGAGAACCAGAGAGCCCTCTTCCCTGCTAAGCTTAGCCACTAACTCTTCTAGGGAAAGAGGCAAATCCTCATTATTCTTTATGCTGTCATACAGCAACAGGTTTAATTTAGGGCAACTGTTGAGAACCGAATTATAAGTCCTTATTGAAACCGCCACCCCCCAATCCTCCTTCATCTTTTGTAGCCAAGCTGCCATCTCCAACAACTCACCATGGGCTCCAAAAGATGAAAGCACCATGTTCGAAGTGACCGTGTCCATCCAAAATCCTTTTCTCTGCATTTGAGCAACCATCCTCCTCATCTCCCCAAACTGACCTCTTATCCCATACCCATAAACTATCCACCTGAACTCAAACCTGGACAGCTTGATCCCTGCCCTTCTCATTTCGTCCATCAGCTTCTCGGATTCAGACGGCAAACCAATACGACACATGGCCTGGATCATGGACTTATACACGGACTGCTTTAAGTGAAGCGGGGTCGGGCCTGAGTGGAGGAGAAGCTTCAACTTTGCGCAACAATGGAGGACTGGTTCCCGTGACTTGTGCTTGGATTGGGAGTTGATTAGGTGACAGTAGAAGAAGAACAGTTCGCGCTTCCCTCCAGTGCTTAATCTGGAGAGTGCTTCCGCTGTTAGGGTTTCGGCTTCATCAAATTGTTTCTGTTTGTGTAGCAGGGCGATGATGTCTGCTGCTAGCTTGGAATTCCAACTGAACCAAGGGGCCTGTGACATCGCCAGATATAACGGAAGAGGGAGTGAAGAGAGGCGAGGGTGGGAGGGAGCGGCAGACGCCGGGGAGAGGAGGTGGGAAAGAGTGCCGAGAGCGACGGATCTAGGAGAAGAGGCGACGAATTTCCGAAGCAGTGTGTTGAGGCGGTCTTCGTTGGGAGAGGCGACGAGGAGCGAGTTCAGGAAACGCTCGCCTCGCTTGCTCAACGCACACTGGCATTCTGATTTAGATAGGCGGCGGCGGGGGATTCTAATCTGCGATTTCAATGGCGGCGGACTTGCAATTCCGGCGCCGATCATCATCATCATCCTATATCATACTCTGTATTTATGAGATATCTGTATTCCCTAGCTATTTAAAACATCACTGCATTTTGCCAAAAAAAAACATCAATTTTGACAAAATAATTAAAGGGTTTTTGTCTTGAATATTACTAATAAAAGGGTAATAGGCAAAAAAGTGATCTTTTTAAAAAATTTCTAAAATGTGACTAATAAGTGTGCGTATGCCGGAAAATAATCTAAAATATGACTAATAAGTGTGCGTATGCCGGAAAAAATTTCTAAAATATTACATAATCTTTGTACTATGGCTTCCAAACTTTTGTCTCGATTTCAAAAGAGGAAAATAAAATCACGTATTGAATCAATGAATCATTAACTCAAGTCAGGCCGGAAAAATAAAATCATGTAGTAGTTAATTTCTAATAAAAGAGGCACTTCGGAGAGTACATCTTCAAGCATGTCTGAAAAGAGTTGAATGAATTAGCTATGTTATCAATTGAGAAGTAATTTATTGATAACATAGATTATGCATAATTGATTAATATATTTTCATCTAGAAATGTTCTACGAGTTGTACTTAATTAGTTTTTAATACATCCAATATCTTTTTTTCTAAAATGTAACACTTAAATTTAAAAATTGCGTTTTTGTGATATTTAATTATTGAATTTTAATGAATCTGTATGACAAAAAAACACTATGTATAGGGCCCATTTATGAAACTCGACTCAGGCCCGAGTTTAGGTAGGATCGGCACTGGCCACCACCTCCCACCGGTGACCGCCGCCGGAGACCGTCGCCGGCCATAGTGACAACGACCATAGTGACACAATACTGACGATGTCACTGTCTAGTGACACTGATTTTTCAGTGACGCCACCCGCCAAAAGTAGTTACTCCGACCGCTACCACCGCTCGTGTCACTGTAACCACCACACGTGTCACTGGAGCCACCGTCCGTGTCACTGTGATGACATCTCCGCCATAACCTCCGGTCACAATGACATTTCCCCAATGACATCTCCGCTTTCCGACCACCACCGCAGACGGTCACAGTCACATGTCATCTCTGGCCACGGTGACACCACCACTACCCACCGTCCAGTGACACCCGATGCCACTGGCACTGCCATACCACCAACGACAAACCCCCTACTGCCACTACCCCCTCCCCCATGCCTTTGCCCGCCCCTGACCTGCTCTAGATCTGACCAGCCCCTCCGGCCAGTGTTATTCCGACCACCACTCCCTCACTGCCGCCAACCACCCCAAATCTACATACCTAGCCCCAGCCATTTCCCCAGCCCCCTCCCAGCCCCAAGCCACCTTCCCAGCCCCTCTCCTTCATTGCCACCCAGCCTGGTCATGCTCCGCTGCCGACCAACTCTGACCTTTCAGCCGCCACGTTGTCACACATCAACTCTGAACACCCCAACCTACATCGATCCACTCCTCCTAGCCCACCACAGCCCGATCAGATCTGGAAATCTGCAATCTGAGCCGGACCAGTAGTCAACGCCTTGGGCGGCGTTTCCCCATCCCGACCTAGAATCCCTGCTGCGGACCACCTCCGCTGTCTGACTTCGTGGCAGATATTGCCGCCGCAGCCTTGAATCGGAAATCGAAGATGTCGTGAACAATCTAGAGCAAGAAGAAGAAGAAGAAGAAGAAGAAGAAGAAGAATTGTACGACCAGACTGAGGTCTCCGTTAATGGCTCACCACCATCGCTGGAGCTCAGTGCGGCGCGGACTTCGTCGTCCCAAGTGCGATGCATTGTCTCTAAAGAGTTCTGTCGCCATCTAGATGTCGATTTCATCCCCATCTCACCGCCATCTCTGAATCCCCGTGCAGACAGAAGCTGGAATGGTGGAGAAGAGTCCCTATGGAGAACTCGATCACACAGAGAAACGGCTCTGAAGAAGAAGCGTAGATCTGGACGAGAGAAAAGGAAATAGATATGGTCACTTTTTTGTAAAGTTAAAAAATGGTTATATTTTGGTCTATTAAAACCTTAGAGATAATACTTGTGCCATTGTTTCATAATTAAAGGAGAAATACTAGGGTAATAAATAGTGTAAAAAAGTAAGAGAAGATAAGAAAGTAGAAAAGAAATTATGAAAAGTAGAAATAATAAGGGTAATTGAGTATTTTAAATGACAAATTTACAAAAAAAAAAGAACAGTGTGGTAAACTATTAAATACATTTCAAATAGGGAAATGTAGAAAACTTTTAAATACGGAATGAGTAATATTTACATCTTATCTTGCCCTATTATAAAAGTGAGTCTTCTTAAGAATAAAAGAAACAAAAAGGAGGATATTGATTCCTCAAATTTATATGTAGTGTTCTGCCACACAAAAATGTAGATTCTTGACAAGAGCATAAATTGTCAACATCGTTTTAAATATATAACATATTTACATCTCTCTTGATGTTCCATATTTATCTATACAATTCTAGTTTTACTTTTTCTTTGTTTACTAAATTGACACACTCTGTGGGATGACTCTGTCTCTCATCTCTTCATCAATATCAACATCGATACATTTCGAAGAATCGATTGATTGATCAATGATAAGATTTCATATTCGCATATTTAATATGTGGTGAGTTATGTCTTCGATCTTTGATGGGGGCATGAATTATATAAAAAAGATCATGTCTTTTAAATTTGGAGACTGTTCGTCAAGAATGAGATAGAAGACCAAGTCATGTGAATCAAATGACCCTTTCGTAAAAACACAAATGGAAGAATACCGCATTTAAATCCGGAGGCCCTTTTGTCATAACTAAAAATGAAAGCTTGTGTCATTTGAATCCGGAGGCTCTTTCGTTAAAGTACAAAGCGGCGGAAGAATAAGCCATTTGAAACTGAAAGCCCTTCTATGAAAAGTTCAAGATGAAAGTTCAAGAGTGTCATCAACCCTCACACGTCTTCCCCCATCCCAAAACCAACTCTCAAACACACCCGTAAGGAATACTTTCTCGAAATAAAGTTTCACCTTTAGTGCTTTATATAACTAGCCGAGACTAAAATAAGTTCCATCATTCGTACTTTATTTAACGAGGCTAGTCGTGACTGAACACTCAAAGGTTGAGTTGGGTCGATTTGGTTAAAATGGTGTTCGCGTTCGATCTCGAAACTTGGAGAGCTTAATCAATGAAGCCCGGGTTCGGTTTGAGCCCTACTACCTCCAAGGTAACCACCCAAACCGTTGCTCCCACCACTTCTTAGGAACTGCTCCAACCCCTCTTGCGGCTACTGCACCTTCTCCGCTGGTCAGGATTTCCCCCACACTCTCCCCACCAATCCTCCAATTCTACCTTGATTGCCTCAACCCATGACCCAACCCTTACGCCCCTGCTGCACTCATTCCCATTTTGCAACCCTAGTCGTTCCAATCCAAACTATGGCTCTACAATTGAATTTGTAACACCAACGAAACTTGAAAGCCATGTAAGTGCTCCATAAAAAATATTCCTACTTAAAGTGTGGCAAATCAAATGAATTCTTTTTGAATGGCAAATCAAAGGAATTTTTTTTTGAATGACAAATCAAAGGAAATTTATTTGAAAAAAAATGAAGTTAAAGTTATTATCTATGCACCAAATTGTTTTTAGAAAGTAAGAAGTAAATACATTGTGTAATTTAATGTCAACAAACGTTTATATTTTGAATTCACCTCACATGAACTAAAAATTATTTAACTCGTGTCTCATGTATTTAATATCATTTGATATTACAAAATCGAGTACTAATGATTAAACATTTCAAAACTAGAAATTTTGATACAATAGACATCCTAAGTTTTAAAAAATGAGTTGTTCTATTGTTTATTTGCACAAGTTATGTAAATAATTTTAGATGTTACTTCTTTTAAACTTCCAATTAATTAGTACATTATGTAAGGCTATATATTAATTTGAAAGCTACAAGTTAAGGGGGGCGAAAAATTCATAGAATTAAAAATTTTCTAAAAATATTACATATACATTGGAACATTTTGAAAGTCCAAGGGAGATGGTCGCCCCCCGCTCCCCCCCTAAATCCGTCCCTAGATATGGGTAACCTCCAACACAACCGAAAGGAGATTGCAAAGAACCATCATAATTTGCGAGGTTAAGGTAAATGACATATGAGGTCTTCTTCTCAAAGCCAATATGATTTTGAAACATATTATGATCGGAGAGATGCAATGTACGACGCCGAAGAGGAGAAACCGGCGATAGCCGAGGAGGTACAAGGCGAGGAGGAAATCCCGACGAGAAAACAACCGACGAGGACAAGCCTGGTTCATTCCAACTCGATACGAAAAGTGAATCTCTCCTTATGGAAAATAATTACACAAAATAAAAGAAAACGACAAGCGAGACGTGGTTGGCAACTTGCTACCATTGTAACAAAAAATTAGCTTGGGGATTTCGCAAGAATACGACGGCGCTCATAGGCATTTGAAGGCAAAACACCCCATGGAGTACACAAAATTAATAGTCGAAGGGACTTGAAGTATATTTTCCCGCTTTTTAAGAGTCTATTCACTATATTATTAATTGTCCTTCATATTTCAATAAATATACATTCACTTTTTTTGTAGTACTTGTGAATTAGTTGAGCCTGGCCCAACTCAGACCCGACCCAAAGCTCGACCTGACCCGATCCCGGTATATAAACGGGCCGGTACCAGGACTGTTTTTACCAGGTCCGCACCCGGCCCAATCCACCACTGGTCCCAACTATTCTATACCCAAGACTCCAAGAGCCCGGGTCAAATAAAGTTGTGCAAATTACCCGTACCGTCCCATTTTGAGTGTAACATATCATTTATATCACCACTATTTTTTCTTTTCATTTTAAAACTTTTCTATTTTCAGTTTTGGGTTTTTATTTCACTTTTGGGCTATGTTGCTGACTCCTCCATATCGATCGCCCTCCAGATCCAACCGAAAACATCTCCTCCTCTCATATTCTTCTCTTCCGACTCACGGCCATGATTTTCAGACCTTCCGCCCCCGTTATTCTCTCGTTTCTTTGATCTTCGATCCTCCGGCTCTAGCCTCTATCAAATCCTTCGACTTCCCAACCT